TGGCAAACTGCCGGAAATGGTCGAGCACTCAGCCTCACGTTGGAGGATGCATTTTCCGCCCCATTACGCTTGGGGGCGACGTTGGAATTCGAGGAGGGTTTGCTAGAAGGATTCTTTTGTTCGGAACCAGGAGCGGGGTTAAGAGATGGAACGGATTTATTTATTTCTGGTGCTTTATCTTTGAGCACATCGGTGGCGTTAGTAGTGGTACTTTGAGAAGGTGTGACGTTAATCTTGGGCTGGCTTGATTGTTTGGATGGTATGTCGGGGCGCGCGATTTGGGCGCTGATGATTGCTGGATCAACTGGTGCGCCGGGAACAGTAGGTTGGCTTGTTGGCGCACGTCTTGCAGGTGGCGTATACTTATTAGGTTGTCCGGATTGGAGGGGAGGGAAATCTTCACGGCGAACACCGCTGTATTTATCCTCCTCATTTTCATAATCATTTTCAGTAGATAATCCGCGCTCTTCTCTTAAATGGGTATTATCTGTTTCACTGGATTCAATCTCACGTGCAATTCTAGCCGCCTCAGCTTCTTTGCGTTTATACGATGGGTCGGAACGATCTATTCGAGTCGTGTACAGATTCTCGTCGTAGTTTGTAGTGGCTCCGAAAAGACGTTCATTTACTTCAAATTGGTCCCAGCTCGTCGTACCTGTGCTCTCTAAAGACATGTCCACAGGGGCATCTGTACCCGGTTCCCAGGGTTGGAGTTCTCTTTCTCGGAATACTTGGGCGCCAGAGATGTCTGTATCCGTTTTGAAACACGTAGGAGTACCTAGGAAGAGAAGGGAAATCTGTTAGCCTATATATGAATGATCAAAGATGGAAAAGCTATATTTTAATTACCATTGTGTTCCTTTGCGGCAATACCGGTGGTCGAGACGTTTTCAACACAAACATCCGCAACATCTTGGACATCGAAAATCATTTGATGGTCCACACCCGATCCAATGTAAGGGCTAGAAGGGTCACTAAGTCCATTCGACCGACCGCTGTCTGCTTGTGGGGAGGAGCAACGTTGCGCCATTTTCAATGTAAATGAGGAGTTATTCGACTCCAACGATGATCCCGAAAAAATGCCAGAAAACCTCTCTCCGCTTTTAGTTGTGATAGTGGCGTTTAAACCCTACCAAACAGAACGGATTAGTGAACGGACGACGAGGGAGGTATGCTCCGAAAGCCGGTTAAGGGAAAGGAGGGATGGACTTACGATGCAGGCAGCCAGGAGAAAGGTGAGGCGGTCATTGGCATGCATATCGGGGGTGTTTGACTCCCTATTCGACGACGGGGATGCCATTGGGTTCGGGGAAATGGTTGATTTTCGCTGAGGAGCTCCTCCGTTCTGACTGGGATAGGAAGGTTTCTGGGTAAGAGGATTTGTAGATTGAGTCCACGCCTTTGGGGGATTATTACGCCTATAACATGTGCCAAAGATAAGGAAAGAAGGTCAGTGAATGAACTTGTGATAAAAGGGACAACCGATCAGGCCACCGAGGTGAACATGGCGAAGAATGACAGCAGTAGACACAGAACTCGAAGCGGCTAAACGCCGCACCAGAGTCAAGGAAAGATTAAGGAGAAGAAAGAAGTCGACTGAAGACTTGGATATAGAAGTGGGTGGGTGTGCATATGGGCGACAGTGCGTATGTGCATGTGGCAGGGTTTGAGGGTGGTTGAGTGTGTGTATATAAAGAAAACAGTATTATGGAAGGCGGAGAGGGAGGAGCGGGAGTGAGTGTTAAGCGTGAGGGCGTGAAGAAGCTGGCCAAGTTTGGAAGGCACGCACGAGGCGCTCAACGTCGATCGGAGCCTCCTTCGCTGCTACCACGCCCAAGAACAGTAACCCGACACCCAAGACAAAGGGGAAAGGAGAGGGGATATGGCAAATGGCGTATGGCATATGAAATAGGAAGGCGCGGTCCTGGCAACGGACGACAACGAGACGACGACATACCTCTGAGCACCGTCGACAGGGCTGCCCGCCTGCCGTCGACTTCCATCAGTGCTGGTCTTGATCGTGGAACTCGAGCGCATGGCTGGTCTGCTGTTGTTGCTGTCGTTGTTGCTGTTGTTATGATCGCTGGCAGCAGCGGAGGGATTCTGCGGCACAGAATTGCTGAGGGGGTTGCCTGAGGCTGCGTTGACAGACGACATGGAGTTGATGGTAGATGTCATGGCTGGAGAAATTTGTGGTTGAGTCCAAGAGTTAAGTTACCGCCCTAAGATTTCTGCACTTAGGTATGTAACCTAGGTTTAGTTCAAAGATAGTAGTAGCAGCAGAAGCAATGCCCGTGAACACTTCAGGGACCAGCCAGGCTGGGAGAAGGAACCTTGGAATCCTCCAGAGCCAGAAGCCAAAGCCAGAGCCAGAGCCACAGCGAAAGCCAAAGCAAAGCCCCAGAGAGCCCACACCGCCTCACGTTGTTCAAAGATGGAGTGGGTGAATATGACAGAAGGAGAAGAGGTAGCAGAAATGGACGAAAAAAAATAGCTCGAGCTGGGGGGGTCTTGGGACCGGGGAAGGGAAAGGGAAGGAAAAAAAGGAAGCTCAAGCTCAATGGAAGGGGGCCAAGGGGCAAAGGAGGAAAGGAGAAAAGGGAGACAGAAGAGAAGAAAAAGAAGATGAATAAGAGGAGAGGGAGATAGTTTGGGGGAGTTGGAAGGTTGAGAGAAAGAGGCTGGAGGGAGATCGCGAAGGATGAAAATACCAGTGGATGATGTGTTTGGACATGGGATACGGGCCCAGGACGGGAAGAAGCCAGCGACCAGCGAGGAGCAGGCGCGGCATGCTAATATGGTAATATGGTAATATGGTAATATGGTACGGTCACAATTGGCGGAATGCGTCAAAATGCAGAGCGATAATTCCTGACCTTTTCCTGCCGAACCGTATTTTTGGGTGCTTGCCTCGTTTCAACTCAAATCGATCCGCCAATTATCGTCTACAACTGGACCCACCTTGCCGCTTTGAGGCATGGCCCAGCGCGGATTTGTCCATCCTCTAGCTAGATCAGGAATGGTTGCCCGTTCCCCAGTATCGGTAACTTATATCATAGTTCGGAGTAACTACAGAATACAACATCCCCTTTGGTCAATTTCAGAGATATCATTTTTTCCAGATGAAGATATACAAAACGCACAGGCAATTTTTGATCACTATGAAAAATGTTTTCAATTCGTCAGTCCCTTCAAAGAATGCCATTGTCCTCATCCTAGCCAATCAATGACAACACGCTTCTCTCTCGCTCATCAACAGCACTGGCAGTGCTTTGACGGGTACACAAAGGGATTTCATGATCGTTGTTCCATGAAATCTTTCTTGCCCATGTGCGCGCCACCATCGTTCTCCACCGTCAAAGTGTGCTCCCAGAGAAGAAAAAGCTTGCCCATATACACGCCCTTACTCTTGTTTTCTAGTTACATATACCAAGGCGATGATATCGGAACCGAGAGCAGCTCAACAATCCTTACCATACCGTAAATAATAGCGAAAGAACCCAACTCACTTTCTCCAAGGCAACCTGGAGCTCTTTTTTCTTTTTTCTTTTTTCTTTTTTCTTTTTTCTTCTCTTTTTGTTGATCAAATCTACAACATAGTTTGCAGATGGACACAAAATCAATACCAATAATTAAATGATAAATCCACTATTCCTGCGCCGGAACCCTGTATGCTCCCATTGTGAAATTCTCTTCAACCAGCACACCGTTCCGTTCTCTCATCGATTTTGCAGCGGAAATGCAAGCACTAGCATGCCAGGACGCTTTAGCTCTGCAGGCTAGGTAGCCTTCTTTTTTTCCTTCCTTTTCCACCGCCCTTCTTTTTTTCAACAGAAACGTTGTACGCAGTAAATGCATTGTTTTCAGTGAAAACAAAACCAGGGCTACTATATTTTGCACGGGGAAACTCAATAATTGGCCAGCTTCATACATACTTAGAACACAGACCTTCTCTTCCCTATACTACACTGGCGCGTTCAATCCACTGTTCTGACTCCCGAGAATCATGTTGCTTGGTGAGCCAGTGAGTCGTTTTATTCTATACTCAGCATGAGAGGTACCTACAGAAGTAGGTAGTTAACAGAGTTCCCGGGAGTTTTCATCAAGAAACACTCCATTGGGATAAACAAAACTCAAAGTCATAGGTAGGTAGGTAGTAGGTATCTATTTTGGATATGGATTGGTGTGCAGATCATGTGGATAACACCGACAGTTAAATTTCCTTGTTTGCACGACAACATCTCAATCGCCTCGCCTCACCATATCCCTAACAATGAGGCAGGCAAATGCAGACTTCTTGGCATGGGCCATGCAGTGGCTCTCGGCGACGGGCAACTGGAGTTGTTATTTGAAGAGGTTTCTGGTAAGTTTATTTGATGCCAGCCATTTTGACCAAATCTGAGAAGGTAGCCTAGTCATCAGGGTGAGATACCACAACAGTATCATCAATGTAGAAAAATATAATTATCCATCCATTGATGAATAGGCATTTATCCTCACAGATTGAAACAAAGTCTAACTGCTTAACAGTATTAGATAGTTCTTTAAGTCATAGAAGAGGTGATCTTCTTAAACCATATAAAGCACATCATAAGCATGGAATATAGATGTTCTTTTTGAGGTTCCATACCCCCTTCAACTTCCATCAATCATCTGATAATTCAATGTAAACTAGCTCATCAAGTGAGCTGTTCACAAAGGCATTGACACCATTCAATTGCTCAGCATCATGTAGATTTCCCACTAGAGGTGTTTGCTTTAAATTGGAATTATTTCATTTCTCACAGCCACGGGTTAGTACTCTATACTCTGTAGTACATACCGCAGTTGCTAAAATCCAGCTTTCACTCCAGATTCAGATTTTTAGTTCAAGACATCATTTGAGAGAGACATGGTGACTTAATGTTTTGGGATGGTAATTGGAGGAGCTGGGGATGGGTGCATTATTTGTTTCAGGATAGTCTGGCTGGGCGGAACAAGCAGGGACAAGTTTGCGCGAATACCAATTATTCATGGGTACAAAACTTTGTCCTCTCCCAGGAATATAGAAGATCCCTTGAAGCATAGATGATAGCCATGCCTTTTGCCAGTATCTCGTTGACGTCCAACTTGGTTGACATGTGAAAATAGCTATTCGCTGGTTTAATCTGATTGGTGGCGGTTTTAATACAACATCACATGACATGAGTCCGCTATTATGACCTGTGATTGGTACAGCCGAACTGCAACGGCGTAACAGTCGTACAACCCCGTAATAGGTATCAGCGCCTCCATTCCTTCCAATCCCCAGCCCAACCACATTAGAAAAATCACCAAAATCACATCAACTTCATCCTGCACCCGTCGAGTGTTTCCGCCGTTTTCGAGAGATATGGACTCTTCTTCGTCATCCTCCCAGTCAAGAACTCGCCATGTACGTTCTCCGGCTTTTGATCGTGCCCGTTCTCCCATGGTTCAGCAAATGATTTCAACATCCCTCACGACTACTGCTGCTGGTGGTGGTGGTGGTGGTGGTGGTGGAAACACGAGTCAGCAACCTGTGGAAACGAGAGTGTCCTCCGGATCAGCCAAGTCCTCTTCTTCAAGTCGAAATGCGGTATGCTATATTTATACGTTTTCATTTCCTCATTATGCGCTGCTGTGCGCTATGCAGTTTACACCACATCTGCGTTTTAATGTTGGATACTTCTCCATCGTGATATCCATGTGCTAACGAGTTTTCTTCTTTCATTGATAGCAGCAGCCCGACAAGCAACTCTCACAGATTGAAAAGAGCGTTACCCACCTTCTCGTCGCGACAAAGCAGTTATTAGAGACCCTCACACAATGGTCACGACAACGTGCGACGGAGAGCGAGGTTTCGGACGTTTATGTCCGTTTGGGATACGAGTTCAACTTGGCCTGCAGGGCTTTTGGAGCTATTGGCGTCGACACAGCAGACTTGGGCCCCGTGCCCGATCTCCTCCGGACCATTTTGGAAGACACCCTTAGTCAAGATGCATCTCCAGAGAGCCTCGATCGGTATCTACCGCGCATACGGGATATCATTATCAATTTACTCCAGGGTCTCAAGAAAAAACAGGCTAAGTTGCGGTCGAGGCAGATGAAAGATGGATTGCCCGCGACAACACGACATGGCAGTGCTGGCAGCGTGGGAAGCGGGGACAATAGTCTAAATCAGATCGCAGATGAAGCTCCATCGTTACCGCAGTCCGCGCCGAAACGACAACAAGAGGTATCTCGCCAAGCTAATACAATGACAAGCTATGGAGATACGGGATTTACCAGAAATAACTCTTCTGCCACCTGGTCTAATGACCGCCATGGACCATCTTTTGCCGAAAGGGAAGCGACGAAGAGAGACCAGTCAAAGTCAGGTGTTTCTTCGAATTCGTCACTATCAAGTAATGCTATGCAGAATATTCCAGTTGTGTCCCCATACCCTGACCAAAGCATGAACGGATCTCGCTACGGCAATGCTTCCAATTTCTCAGCGCATAACTTCCCTCATCCCCCGCCTCCCACGCCTCCAAGCTCTAAACAAGACGACGCCATTGGGATGCTACAAAGAAGTGGTGAACTGGAACGACGAGCGTCGAGGAGATTCTCTGCCTATCAAATACAAAAACACCTTGGTCCATCTCCTAATGGTGTTCCAGTTATTCCTCCTTCGCAGAATTCCCCGGTTCCGAATCGAGGCCGCGATGTTCGCGAATCAATGAATGCAGTGCGCCTCCGTGGATCATATCTTCACAACAGGCAGCGCTCAAATAATCGGACTGTCGAATCGTCCCCTGGCCAAACCAATTCACCCGAGCGCAGGGGACCAGCGAAGAAACCTCACGTCGACACGTCAGTGGGATCGACTGAAGACGATGGTCCGCTGCCGAAAACCTCAACTGACAAGCTTGGCTCCCCGCGCCGGTTTGAGTCGAGAGATATGCCACCTGCTAGTGGCTCTCTGCCCGCTCTGCCCCATATTTCAGAGCGGGATTCGGGTTCAGAGACATTCGAGAGCTCGTCGAAAAAGGGCACGGAACAGCAATCTTCACCCGCGAACGGGACCCAACATGCTAAAACCTCATCTACGAGCTCTGACAACTCGCAAGTTAGCCAGTTTACTCCAGAGTCATCCCCCCCTCCAACCAAAGAAATAACACTCTTCTTACAGTACAGAAGTAAGATTAAGAAATACGTCTTGTCAGAGGGCTATTCTGAGTTAACTCTTGGCCGATTACAATTGGCGTTTATCGAAAAATTCGCATGGAATACCCATAACAATGGTACAGATTTGCCGGAGATTTATCTCCAGGATCCTGTCTCTGGCGTTCGGCATGAACTGGAAGATCTGAACGACGTAAAAGATCGATCAGTCCTCGTGTTGAATGTTGAGCCACTTGACGAGGTGAAGAAGCACTTCGACGATGGAGTCGGGGGTCTCCGTCGTTTGATAGAAGGCGTCCGTGAAATTGTTGATGGACAGGGAGCGTCTATCCAACGGTTAACTGACCGTCAATTAGAAGCTTCGAAAGAAATTTCTCGCCTTGCTGCAGCCCCGCCTCCGGTAGATGCATCCAAATCTATCGTTACATCCAAAGGTCCAATTGCAGGTGGCGGAAACCATATTTCAGAACTTCAGGGTATTCGTCGTGATCTTGCCGTGCTACGTCAGACTTATACGAGTTTCGCGACAGATGTATCAAACTCTATGGGCTCCATCCGATCCAAGGCAGGTTCTGTAAAGCATGCAGCGAATGAACTGACTGTGCCGTCATTTGAGGGTGATGCAGGCCGTGCTCGCGTGAATGCAGGGAAGAAAGAGCTTGCTGACGAATCTGAAAGGATCGTCGCTCGTGTCGACGATCTTCAAGATCTCGTTGAGGATCTTCGGAAGGATGTTGTCACTCGTGGTGTCCGGCCCCTACCAAGACAATTGGAAGCTGTAGGCCGGGATATCGGTGCAGTATCGAAGGAATTGAACAAGATGAAGGAATTCCTTAAACGAGAAAAACCAATATGGACTAAGATATGGGAGAAGGAGTTACAGCTTGTGTGTGAGGAGAGAGATCAACTCACAATGCAAGAAGATCTAGTGATTGACCTTGAGGACGATCTCGACAAGGCAACCCAGACATTTGCCCTTGTGGAGCAGGCCACGAAACAACAGTCTCTCCACTCCGCTTCGAACGCGACCCCTGGACCCAACGGGTTGAGAAACGTATCCCGCAATTTCCCAGTCGATGAGCCGTTTGACCCCATGAAAGCCAAGGACCACCTCCTAGGAGAAGTAAGAGCGCTGCAACCTAATCACGAAAATCGTCTGGAAGCCATAGAACGTGCTGAGAAAGCAAGAGAGAAGGAGCTGGAAAAGTCGCCGGATCGGGCCCGCTCCAAAAGAAGTTGGGCAAATTTGTTGAAGAGGGAAAGCTGAAGAAGAGTGGTGGATTCGAGGAGATCGAACGGATGCGGAAGGCAAAAGATGAGCGGATACGCAAGGATGTATGGGAGCGCATGAATGGTATTGTCCCTGGACCGGAACAGAACACCGCGACGACAACCGCAGCAGCAGCAAGCCTTCCTTCCCCTGATGACAACCTGCCTGAGGAGATTTCCAAGTCACCTGAAACGGCGGGATCAGGGGAAGAGCGTGCCAACTCATCATCAACTGGAGAAGGAATCGCCTGCCGTGATTCTATTTCTAGCCGTGGCAGTCCCCTTTCCCCTGCAAAAGATGAGCTTGCAAAAACACAATCTTCTCCAACTGCTCCTGGTATGTAGAGCAGCGGCATTCTCATTTATACATATACAAATAGATTCCAAGATAGAACAGGGCAGTTTTGGGTTTTTGGGTTTTTGGGTTTTTGATCTAACATTTTTGAACCGTTGCGGGGACATACTTAGTTTCCGAACGCAAACGCTCATCATGGCTCACGTCCATATTCACCAACTAAGTATGGGAAAATCTCCCACCTCACCAAATGTCCTAGCTTCACCACATCCCACACCCCCCTTTGCTTCTATCCTCCTCTCCACCCCAACCTACAATGCTCCGCTCGCTGTTACTTCCTTTGGAAGTAGGACGTTTCAGCTTTGAGTACGTTATTTTCCCCATGGATAAAGCTGGTCGGTTACCGTGTCTGGGTATATTTATACTTTTATACTTTTTTGCTCTCTATTTTACCCCTTCAAAGTTTTCAATTTTCTTTTATTTCAATATGGTTTCTTTTTGGTCTGTCTGTTTTGATGTTAATGCTAATTGAATTCCTGATACCCCCGGTCGTACTCGCCACGAAAGTTTCTAAACACCGTGTCATAATGCTGTGACTTTACATGAACTTCTTGCTCGTTTCTTCACTTAGTTTGTTGCTGCAAGCAGTTGTTATCGGGGGAAACTTTTGGTAGTTGGTCTTCCTATTCCATTTCTTTTCTTGTCCAGGCCCTCCGTTCCCATATATTTCCACATGTTGACCTTTTTATCTTTTATTTCTATCGGGATTTTTCTTTACTTGGATACAGGGTGCATCTTTTTACCTGTTCCTATTCTTTCTCGCCCTTTTTTGTGTGTTGCTATCGATACCCCGCCGAACCACGTCCTTATATTTTTTTGTTCCTTTTGTCTTCCATTCATGCATACACACCCCCAACTTCCCAGGTAATAGTTCCTTCTTCATCTTCCTCGTCTGGCGTTTTTGTTTTTTCTTTATGTTGAAATCTATTCTGGACGTGAATGAGAAACACTATCTTCATGGGACAACACAAGAGCTGGCTGGTCCGACTTTTGCTTGGCTGGATACCTATCTGTCTTGGTGGCTAGGTAATTTTTGATACAAGAGGTCACTGGGTGATTTGGATGAAATCTGATGATGGAGTCCATTTCATTTACCACGATAAATGACCGAATTAACTTACTTTTATTTGATTTGATTTTCCTCTTGTGTGTAAAGTAGTATTCGGTGGGTGGCTTAGGCCAAATTGGACGTAGTCAGCGTCGGCTATGCAGAGAAGATTCGTTAAGATTTATATTTATCCCCGAGTAATTTGCCGGTAGATCTCGAACACAGCGCCAGACCAACTGCAAATCAAGATATCATCATCATCTATTATTCCAACTGCCAACTTTCCAACCAACAAAGACAACATCCTCACCGAACCATGTCTCACCAACATCAACGCCCATTCTGACCGTTTGCGGGGAAAAGTGTCCACGAGACCGCACCCGGATTCAAGTTCATAAATGTATCTATTGTATTGCTAGCCCATGTAAAACTACGCCGTACATATCTTCTTCCAAGGCATCTCTTTATCGTTATTCTCTCGTTCCTTTATCCTGCATCATATAAAGTGAA